TTACTCGTTTTAAAAATCTCGACATCAAATTCCGCATCTCACAAAAATAATCATTTTTATGAGATGATTAATTGCGTATACATGTATAAAAGTTATGTATAATTTAAATATAAAAATATAGATTTATATATAAATTCTTCTTATTAGAACTTATCTAGTAATGTATAAATTATAAGAGTAAAAGCGACGTTGAAATATAATTTATCTAATTCATAATTATCTATAATATAGATTTATCCCATCTACATATTTTTCAAATTCCTTATAATAATATGTACAATAAATACATTTTTTTTTCTATTAAATTATTTATTCGTTGCTATAAATATAAATTAATATTCTCGTGCATATTTTTGAATAAAAGATCTATATATCAATATTGAATTTAGAAAATTTTATAACAGATCTTCCCATAAGAATCGCATTACCGTTAAATGGAGACTCAGTGATGTACGAGCTCGAGCTTAACCGTAAATCGACGCATCAAGATTCTCTGATCCTTCTCGATGTAGCGAACGTATATGCAAAAATAGCGAATTATGTAAAAATATTACGTTCAGCTCGGCGGAGCTTCTTTCAGATCGGGTCACGATCTCAGATCGCAACCCCACGCACGACATTTCCAGTCGACAATGACGCTCTGGGCGGCATACGTAAACATATTTTCTCACGATTTGCATCGTGAAAGCGTCATACATCGGACCAGGCCCGGTGTGAGTAGTCGTCTTTATGCAAAAAACACGATTAAACTAGACGACGTTATGATAACGTCATATCTGATAAGACCATAAACATCTAAGGAGTACAGGATGTTACTAAAGTGCTTGGATAAAAAATTTTGCGCTACAAATATGTATAAGAAAGCAAAATTTATCTAACAAACAATATACAAAAAAAACATAGCATTATAAATGTACTGAGAATTAAATAAAAATGACTCAAAAAATTGAATTCAATTTCAAAAATGAAAAATTATATTCTTCATTCAAAATTTCAATATTCGTGTTGCAGAAGTGTTTGAAAAATATTTATTATTAAAAATTGAAAAGCTGCGGTCATAAATGTCTTGATTTTTTACAAAAAAATCCATTCTAAATTGATTAAACAATGATATGATTAAGAGAAAATCCTTTCACCAAGCGATGCATAAGCATATTGTAATATATCCGGACAGTGGCTATAGTTAGCTCTTCATTGTATCGATTGAGAGCCATCATAAACGCGTTAGGTCTATATCATTCCCTCTATTATATCTTTCAATTAGAGACCGCCTAAGCCGCGCGGTTTTTCCGTGCGATGGCTGAGATTTTTACGCAACGAAGCTTTTGTTTATGATCATCTACGTGGGCGTCCCTCACCCACATCATGGAGTGCGGGTTTGGTGTCTCCTCATGCCCACGTCTGTCCGCATAAAGAAACAGCCGACGGTACAGACGCGGTTAACGGTACTCGCGAGGAGTTTCTCTACCACCACCTGGTACACTCCATCCACGTCCGCCTGCCACTACTTCTTCTTCCTCCACCTGACCTGATTTCCTGACCCACTACCAGAATGAGAGAGACGTGTTCCCGACCACTAATTCAATTATGGCCTTTTGTATCGAATCTTTGTTAATTTTCAACAACTAATAGTAGTCCGCTCGATATCGAAAAGCGGACACAGTTAAATATAATACTGTAGCATTATATTTAAGACATTATATCAATACGTCGCTATGGAGAACAACAATGTTAGTCTCTGTGATTGAGGAATGAATAATCAGAATATCCTATATCTCGGAAAGAGAG